CGTGTTGTTGCTCAGTGGTTTCGAAGATATTGTACATTTAACCTCTGGACATGTTGGGGTTTTTTTTTTTTTTGTTTGTTTGTTTTTTTCCCCCCCTCTCTCCTTTTTTTCAATGTGACTGAGGCTAAAGTGTGAATTCTGCCTCACAATACTGCACCCAACATGTGTACACACACACACACTTTAATGTAGACTCATTCTTTTGCGCATCTTGTGTCAGAATCTATTTTATCAAGCGTAAGTCACACACAGTACAAATTAATTTCTTATTTTTTCAATAGGGGAGATCCTACACTGGTCAAGACAAACGTTGCAATTACAACAGGCTACCTCATATCGGGTAAGAGAAAGCTTTCAGTTTGTCAGCATAATTTTGTTAAAGTGAGTGAAAAAGAACATGCACATAATAAATTTGCGATAAACTTTGATGCTTGATGACACATTTGTGGTTCAGCCGTACTGTGCCAGCTGCTGTTTTCAAATAGTTCTGTATGCACTTAGATTGCCTTGATTACACCAATGACATGCTGTCCCTCTTTGCCCTCTTCTTCTGTTTTCCAGATTTGCTGCTGATATTTTATTATTGGAAGGCAATAGGCGACAAGTTTTTTGTAGTTCATCATCTGGCAGCGTTGTATGCTTACTACTATGTACTGGTGAGTGCCCTATTGCCCAATAGCAGAACGTGCAGGCAAGATGGGAAAGAGACAACCAAGGGTGAACAGCTATGTCCTTTTTCAGCTGGGTGTGATACATAGCCATGTATAGTCATAGGTGAGCTTAATATGTACGAGGGAGAGCCAGTTTGGTCTGTGTAAGAGATACATCAATCCCATGCAAACACATCAGATAAGTTCTCAGATAGTTAAAGCTTCAGCTCTGTCTTTATTTATTTTATTGCAAGGGAAAAAGTGCTAGAGAAAGTAAAGCATTCTTATCAGTTAGTAAGTAGCAGTATTAGTTTCTTTATTTTTCCATAGCAGAACATTCAGTTTTGGCATTATTCAAGTGTGCGAGTAATAAGATAACTGTTCTTTGGTGGTTGATGCCTTTCCTGAAAATGGCTGATTGGCACATTAACACCTTGAATAGTGTTGTGAAAATTGTAGGAAAAACAGTAATAGTCTTGATGGGATTTAGTTCAGTTTGACGTTTCCGTTTGGCCATGATGTACCTTATAAAACAATAAATCAGCTGTTTGTTGTGCAAGCTGGATCTTGTATCAGTGGTGCTCATTGTATTTAAAAAAAGAAAATTCAATTAAAGATAAAAACTTGTGTATGCTGCATTGCTGCCATACACTTTGGTGTGCCAATGGCGACTCTATCCAGCATTTGTAGGTGGCACTGTTCACTCTTGGTTCAATCTGAAACCCTCTAGGTTGCCAGGATCTGTCGCATAATTACGGGAAATGAATGACTATGGTATTTTTTGCATGGAATGCTCAGTGACGGTACTGGCTGATGACCCTCTCCCTGCCCCCCTCCCCCCTCACCTTGCCCTTACAGTTTCTGTGCTTTTTGTTTTACTGACCCCCCCTTTAAATGTTGTGTGACTCTGGTGTAAGCTAAACTTTTCTGAGCTTAGCACAACTGAATGCTCAACTGTAACCACTGTGTGCATGCTCATAGCTTTGACGCGCTCTACACAGGCAGAGATTTCTGTCCTGTTACTGTGCATGAAAACAAAGTATTTACCATTCTTAATTACTTACCTGCCTATCTACAGTACCTTGGCTTCTGCTTGTCTGTCTTTTGTGCCAGAGCCTAGTCCTGGCTCCTCTCTTACCATGCCAAGATGATAAAGTCCATTGCATAATAGATAGGCCCGTTTTTCAAATACCATGCTGAATGTATTCTCAAGGGTCTACTCTAGGAGTCTGGGGGATAAAAATGAACTAGTGCTCCAAAAAGTCTTACATGAACTTTATTTTACAGTTACAGTAAATAAATGCTCTCAGTTCTCTATATTGAGCAAAAATGCAGAAAGGCATGGAATTTGCATCACTCTGATAGTAGCCCCCAATTAATCAAGCTGCTTTTTTTTTTTTTTTTTTTTTAAATCTAAAAAGATGTTTTTAATTACTTGGCACTAATAGATGTAGTGTAAAGCTTACACTCTACATATTTACGTCTCACTCCCTGCTCTTGTCTATTTTAGTCGCGGCTGGATTTACGGATTATCTTTTCTCTTTTTAATCTGACAGACATTTTATTTACTTTTTCCATCTTTTAGCATTGCTAATGAGAAATATTACCTTTCAGTGTTTCTGTATCTGAACAATAATTGTGTTAGTAATGGCAGTAAAATGGTGTCATATGGTTGGTTTAAGATTCTGACTTAACACTGACTGTAAATCTAGTCGTATCTGTAGAAACGGAACGACTGTATCTAAAACAGTTCGGTAAATGAGATGAAGTAGGCCATACTGTTACTGGACACTCATGACTTTTTTTTCTCAGACTAGATCTGAAATGCACATGGAACAGCAGCATGAATGTAGCCGTAATAAATTAGTTGTAATCACCCCCAAAAAGTTGGCTAACCTTTGATGTCATTTTCATTTTATTTAGTTTTGTTCCCACCCAGATTTGTCATATGTTGTCAAAGTCTTATTAGTTAAATGTGTTGAATGTGTTTATGTGGAACTGTTTATGTCAAAACTCTAAATCCACTGTTCCACAGTTCATACTTTGTAGGATGACTGAGAGATAACTGCTGCACATGCTAACTAGCTTATGCAACATGAGCACATGGCTAATTAGCATATCATTGCACATACACATTACCGAAACTCTTTCTCAACCTATATTTCTTAGCCTGCATTCAAACACATGCATTTTACACTAAATAAGCACTCTAAAAATGCTTTTACAGTTGAGCTATTTCACCACAACGCTTTGCTAACACACCCGAAATGTCCCCAAAGTTAGATGAAGCTAGTGTAGCAATGCCTTCAGATCTGCCATGGCTGTCACGTAATCTTAATAATATCATTGCATTAACTTTCTCTGTTGCTACTTGAACCTTACCTTTTATTAAAATATCCTATCACTGTCTCCATTTGTAACATAATGAAGTTCAACAGTGGGGGCAATGGATAGGGCATCATGGGCCAACAAGGTTGTGGATTGTTTTCAGAACCATTGCACTCCAATGAAACAAAAAACATTACACAAGGCACATAGCTCTAGCTAAACTGACTCCTATTGAGAAATATTAGTAAAAAAATGCAAAATGTAATTTTTTTTTGTTATGCTTTTCTATTAAGTAGCCAATCACAAATATTGCTCAAGTAATTTAATTATTTTGTGTGGCAGCCTTTTGTGCTTATTTAAAAGTTAAGCGTAGCTTCTCAAAAATATTGGATGCATGCTTTTGTTTTTCTCAGTGTTGTAAGTGTTGCTTCTTCTTTGCTTTGTGTTGTGGCATCGTATTTTTTTGTTTCCTTCTAATATATCTGTCTGTCTGTCTGTCCTTTGCTGACTTTAACATAAATGGCCCCTCTTCAAACCTTACATGCAAAAACTACCAAGGTGAAGTTGGGTTGTGTCATCTCCGTTCATGCAAAAACTACCAAAAAGTTGTCATTTAGAAACCCAGAGCAGGTCTTCATCTAGATGGGGACTTTTTTTATTCCTGTCTTGTCTGCTGTTATTGCTCTTGTGTTGTACTGAGCAGCTATGATGCCCAGTCACAGTATGGACTTACCAGTTCCTAGAGGTACTAGCATGCTAGTGCTAGATGGGAATATACAGTTACAAGAAAAGGTTTATGAATCTGTGAAGGATTTCTAGGAATTTTACATTGATTTCTCATAAATGTGGTGTGATATTCATCCAAGTCACAATTGTAGGCAAACACAATATGACTAAACTAATAAAGAAACAGCTATGCTTTTCACAGCTTTATTGAACAGTAACTCATTGGATATGGTGATAAAAGTGCTTATCCGAAAGCTCTAGTTTTGAGTTGTGGCTTCTTTACCATGTGACTGGACATTGCAGTCATTGTTCATTATGTTCAAGCTTTGGAATGACCAAGTCAGACTGACTTTTAACAGGAAGGCGGCGCTGGGTTCATAACCACTGTACTGCAGAGACCTTTCAGTTTGGAGTTTGCATGTTCTCCCTGTGCCTTCCTGAGTTCTCTCTGGGTATTCCGACCTCTCCCCAGGCCTAAGACATGCTTGTTAGGTTAATTGGCAACTGGTCATTGATGTGAATGGTTGCCTCTCTCTGTTTATTCTTGTGGTAGACTGGCAACCTGTACAGGTTGTACTCCACCTCTCACCTTTTGACACCAGGAATAGGCTCCAGGCCCCATGACCCTAAATTGGATAAATGGAAGAAAATTGGTAATCGATTAGAAAGCTTCATTATCATGCTACAGGAAACCTTTGATAAAGATGGCTGCTGCCAACGGAGGTTCTAGGAGACACTAAATTTAGTTACTTTTGGACTGGACCTGAGTTATTATTCAGAATCAGTTTATAGGTTGTGTTATTAGTTTAGTCAAACTGTTTTTGTTAAGTGTGACTTGGATTAAGATCAAACCACATTTTTATGAGTAATTATTGTTGAATTCCTAAGGGTTTACAAACCTTTTCTTGTAATTGTAAACTGTTTGTATCACACAGTAAGTATGTTTCTTTGACCAACTTTTGTTACAGCCCTGACGGTAAGTCTTTTCTGTAAAAGTTAGGCTGCTGGCCAAATAACTTTGAATTCTGCATCCTTAATTTGAGCTGTGTTCTGTGCTGAGTTTGTAGCCAGCAGTCGGGAACAAAAAAAATAGTTTTCAAAGTGCTGAGTCAAACAGTCTTATTGCAGCAGAAATCGAGATTGAGATCATTACACTTCATTCTAATTAATGCACTTTCTCAATCATGAATCACATTTATTTGAATCTTTCCCTTATTATTGCCTCTAACTTTCCCAATGATTATATTGATGCAGCAGGTTTCAACTACTGTAGCAGTTGAAACCTGCTGCAGATCATCCGTTTCACAAAATAGTAGAATTCAGCACCTAATCCTGTAATGACATGTTTGGCAGTCAAATGTATTGCTTTATACTCTGCATGGCTTCTGATTGCTCCTTGAAATAGTGGCTGGCTGAATGTTTTTATAGTTGTACAGTGTATATATATCAAGTCCTGTTTCTGATATGTGCTCTTTTTAATTGTTGTTGTTATTTAGATGAACGGCCTTTTATGCTACAATGCTTTTTTGTTTTGTTTTTTTAATGATTGTTGTGTTGGTGACTCAGATAATGCAAAAATGCTACATTTTGTGTGGGCATTTCTATATATCGCCCATTGTTTTGGGTTTTAAGGATTACCTGATAATAAAGACATTGTTCCAAATTAAAATATTTTTGTCTTAACAGAAACTAAACTAATTTTTTGTGGATGATCTATATAATCTGATTTTGCTCAGAGTAACTGCCCAGATTGAGGGAGTCTTCTCTCTCTCTTTTTTTTTTTTTTTCTCAATTTTAATTCCAAAGAAATAATTGACCACTGTAACTTTAATCCATTTGCACTGCAAAATAACAGAAGATTGTTATTTTGTACAATCATTCTTTATTATCTCTTTATGACGAGTTTCTTTTTACAATAAGGAAGGACTCCTCTGTGAAATAGACTCAGGTGACAGTGTAATTTTTGGACTGCAAAAATAAAGGAATACCCTTCTGCTCTGAAGGAGACGACTGTCTTTTTGGGACAACACCTTGAACTACTTAGGACAATATTAAACATAGTTGCACATGGTTAAGGCTGTGGTTTCTTTAAATCTTTGTTTTAATACATATAACTGCTGATGTCTCAGTCTTGGTAAGAAATGGTGTTTGTATTGACCCGGTGGTGCACTAGCATCATGCCCATCATTCTTCAGTGGAATTGTTGTTGTTCCTCTCATGTCTTGTTGTCTTCCTGTCCTCATTTTGTTTTTCCAGGGCCAAGGAATGTTGCCTTATTTTGCTAACTTCCGCCTGCTAGCTGAGTTTTCTACACCGTGTGTAAACCAGCGGTATGTACTAGCTTGCTTATGACCTGTTTTTCAGGTATCTTTAGGTCTTTTTTTTTTATATATTTACCTTGGTCATTAGCAAGTGGAATGCATTTCAGGTGACAGCCACAGTTAAGAATATCCTACCTTTTCTACTTTTGCGTCTTCCTTCAGCCTATATTTAGGATTATCATATGGATGACTGTGTGTGTGTTTAGGCGCTCAAATCTCCACCTGTTGACAGAAAACTCAGTTTAAGGCCCCAGTCATGCAAGTCAACCACCAGTTGTCAAATAAAAATGCAGATTCCTCAAGTGGTTTCTGGAGGTTTCTAGCAGTCGCTAAAGTGTTATTGGTCACCAAGAGATGTGTGACGCTGCACTGAAAACCACTTTTCAATTGCTTTAGTTGCTAGCAGGTTGTCGTGGCTGCCAGTAGTTTGGATGGTAGATACCTACTTGTCTGCAAACACTTGGAAACTACTTGCTAAGCTGTAGTGAGAACTGAAAAAGAGCAACATAAGCTGTTGTGCCAGTTACAGGGGTAAAGCACATTTGAAAGTTTTACTCTGAAGGTGAATGAGCTCCAGTTTGTGTTGCAGGTTTCACAGCTACACTACAGCTTGGAGAATAAATGGTGAGTGTTCACAGATGCGCTGGTGTCTTTTAGACAAATCACTGGCCCCCACAACAATCAACAAGGTTTTTCCCCAGTGACTGGAGATTCTGAGGGGAGTCTGTAGGCCATTCTGTAGGCCTGTGTAACTGAGGCCCTTTTAACCTGAGTTCTGGCACAAAGAAGATCACATATGGCTTAGACTTGACTAATATTGAAATTATACCCTGCTGGCCAAGGTATAGTTACCACGCACACACTTACTGATTGCTAAATATTTCCAAAAAGTTACTTAAGAAGAGTTCTTTAAAGTCAGATATTTATCGTGCTAGAGCACAGGATAAAACATCTCTGGGTTTACCTAAGATCTTTGGTAAACCAAATGATTATTACTGGTTCTTAAACTTAATGGATTAGTTAATTTATTTAAAAAAAATTAAGTCTGGATTGCCTATCGTAAGGTCTTCTACTAGAAAGTTTAATGAACTCATGGTAATTTCCTGTCTACATGTTTTGTGTTCAGATGGTTCTTTGAGATTGAGGTTTTTTTGCTTTTTTTTTAACTTTAATGTGGCAAGGTACTTACTGTCTTTTAAAATTGAATTGAATACTGTTATTGTTTTCTGAAAAAATGTGCTTTGTTTCAGCTGGTTCTTTGAGGTGTTGGGTTATCCCAAGTCCTCCCGGCCCAACATGGCAAATGGCGTTGCCATGGCAGTGGTGTTTTTCCTCGTCCGCATCGGTGTCATGCCAGTCTACTACAGTCGCATGTATGCGGTCTATGGCACTGAGGCCTTCTACCTGGTGCCATGGGGTGGTCGTGTAGCCTGGATCTGCTCCAGCATCTGCTTGGACATTATGAACATAATGTGGATGCATAAGATCGCCCGTGGATGTTACAAGGTCCTACGATCAGCACACCGGAGCAAAGCTGGCACACCTCAGGAAAACGGCAAGACGGATTAAGAGAACCAGGTGTCACTGGTGAGAACATGCCACAGCAGAAACACTGACAACACTATGTGCAGTGGCTCGTAGCAAGTTGGACCCTGGCATGCAAGGCTGCTTCATTAGCAGCCTACCTGGGACTTGAGATTACAAGACCACATGCAGGGAGGGAACTTGAAAGCAGGCACAGTGACCGAGATGTACCAATGGACCATTTAAAATGGCCATCCCAAAGCCATGAAATGACCTCTTAGCAATACTGTGTGCATGGCCAATTATTTTTCTTGTGAAGGATTTACCAGAAGAGGTCATCCCGGGACAAAGCGGCTGTTAGCCCAACGACAAATTGTCAAAAAGTTTACCATTCTTTACGAACTTCGTGATCAACAAAAGACTTTTGTATTAATGCTGCTGTCTGAGTCGCAGAATGAAAACGATGAAATGGATGGTGTTGGTGAGGTAAATATGTGAGGAAACCTCCAAAGCATTTTGTGAATCCACATTGATGGTCAGTGTCATAAAATCCTTGTTAGATGCCATTTGAGGGATATGTGATTAAGAAATAATCAAATTCCATCAAGTGCAGTCTCAGAAGAATTTGTGATTTTATTTTTTTTAATTAAATTAATATTTTTTTTTTTAAATCACTCAACCCCTTGTAATTTAATTTTTTTTTAACCTTTATTTAACCAGGAAGTGAAATTCCAGAGAGTGAGATGTTCTTTTGTGAGTGCCAAAATGCGCAGATACAAACCAGCATTTAAAGTCTATCAGAATAACAGAAGTCATATATGTTCATTTTAAACGTAGGGTTGAAGACAAATCGGTACATATATGCATTTTCTTACTTTTGTCTTGCTGGAGTCGAAGTACAAAGGGTTTTAAAGATACATAGGATATTAATTAACTGGTATTATTTAAAAGGAGATGTGCAGAGTACCTTAGAAATACTAAAAGGGAAAGTGAATGTTACTGGTGGTGTCTGTACAATAAGAAATTCAAGCGCATCATCAGATGTTAATCCAGCCAAGTTATGTATACAAACTGATCACTTTGCTTTTAAAAAGTGTGTTGCTGAAGTGTTTTATTCCACATTCTCTTAGTTTTGCATTATGAAATGAATGTAGAGAGGTGAAACTCAACTGAGTCAGGGCCAAGGACAAATATGACAAATTCAACAAAACCCAGATTTTCACAGAAAATGTTTTAACGCTTTAGTTGACCTGACATTTAATGTTTGTTTGCCCTTCCGAGTGTTACTTGTTGGCTTTTTTTTTTTTTGCCGCAAACTTAATTCTATACTTTTCTAGCTGTTGCCAATCCTGCAGTGTACATTTTTAGCTGGCACATTGAAACAAAACATCAAAAGTAGACACTGAATAATCTTGAATCGATGGCAGCGAAATACTTCAAAAGTTGAGACGTGAAGAGCAAAAGTCTTGTAACAGCATAACACAATAATTTTCAGTTTCAGCATTTTTGTTTAGATTTTATTTACCCAGGAAGATACAAATCCTTTACATATAGGAGACGTTTAAGATCTTTTTTTTTTTTTTACTACTTTTCTTTTTTTAAACAGAGCCGTAGTTTAACGTAAAGTCAACGACAATCAGTATTTCAGGTGGCAAAATTTTTGTGTTAATGGTAATAGCTTTTGTGTCATGTATGACTTTCAATTCACTCCTAAGGGTCCCATACATGATGTTGTGGGTCCTGTTTATTGGATCGCTACAAGGATTTTTCACTCAAGTGGACATGCATGGAAAGATTTGAACAATGCGTTTTGTTTGTTTTTAACATAATTCTACTTAAACTCATTTATGTTAATCATACAATACAGAACTTGGGAATCTTTCGGTAAATTGGCAAAGGTCAACTGCTCAGTTTAAGTCATAGCAGTTCACTGAAGATTTGTGGTATCTACTTGAATATTTGTTGCACCTTTTACATGAGCTATACATCAAACACTTCTGTCATGTTTTATGTCACAGAAACAGGGAATGTTAGTTTTAAAGTCTGCCTTTTTATGCTCGGCATTTGATTTTGTTGCCTTTTTAAAATAACATGATTGCACAGTGAAGACTTTGTTACACCCAGCTGACACCACTGGAAAAAAATGTTGCTTTTCAGTGATTTTTACTTGTTTTCCTTTACCAACGCCTGTCTAATGTGATTGTTTTTTGGCATTTGTTATATAGTGTCAAATGACAGATTGAGAGGTTTGTTAAGGCTGGTTGTTTGTGTGCTTTTGTTGTTGTTGTTGTTGTTGTTGTTTTTGTTGATCTGTTTGTGCCAGTGCTTAAACCATTGCTACTCCATGGTAAATGCATATGTTCACCATGAGGTTACAATATTTATTTGTCCATTTTCCCTCAAAATGTTTTGTATACAGTTGTGCCAATTTGCAACCATGGTTCTGATTGATTCTATTTACATTACCATGTCTGCATGCTGTGGCTGGTTGCAGAGTGGCAAGGCCCGGTTTGGTTTGTCCTGTTGTGATGGAATGAGATTCTTTTAATGTGCTAATATTTTTATTTTTATTTTTATTTTTTTTATTTTTTTTTATTTTATTTTTTATTTTGGCAAACTATTGTCGGACGTCATCTTCTCTGCAGGTGAATATCACTACCATAAAATGAGGAGGGGTTGTCATTTTATGTTTCGCTGAAATTGGATGGAAATAATACATTCTTATTTGGATGGCAGGCCACAAGCTCATGCATGATCAATAAGGTCTTCTTCAGGCATCTTCTATAACTGCATGTGGAATTGCATGGGGATTGCACTGTAAGCAAATATACATTTGCAAGTTTTTGTTTTTTATTTCTTTTTTGTTAGTACATGTACATAATGTTTACTTAAATGTTATTCTTGTACTGTGCCACATTAGGTAACTCACAGAACCAGATATTTAGGATAATATCCAGCACAGAAATAAACGGAAAGGGAATACTTGAATACTAATCCTCACAGTTTATAACAGTTTGGGCAGTGCAAATAAACATTAATCTTATGAGCATCATGAATTGTATGTGGACAGTTGTCTTTAATTTATTAATATGAATGAAGGAGACGTTTCAGTGACCGAGAGAGCCTGGTGCTGCTGCGAGTTATTTTAAAATGTGTTGACGTTTCTTTTCAATGTTTGGAGGAGATGTGAGTAGATGGAGTGTGTGGTGACATTCTCTGGATGTGCTGGAGATTAGAAATATTTGTCATTTACATTATTTTTTCTCAACAATAAATGCCAAATTAACTCATTTTAAGTGTCTGATGGAGACTTAGCATATTCAGTGACATAGTTTTTCATGATTTTTGCAAGCATGCCTTACACACTAAGTGGCCATTTCAAGTGAAAACTATTTTGGATACAATAGAAATGCCTGTTAGGCTCCAAAGAACCTGCATGTCTTACAATACCATTAAATCTTAAGATGGTAAAGCGTATATGGATAAAGCAGATATGCAACCTGATAAATACAAATACTAAATAATAATAATAATAATAAAAAATATCAAAATATGTATTGTTTCAAAAGGTCTAGCATAGAATGACATACTTATGCCTCAACAGTGTAATTTCTGCCCCCTGCTGGTGAAAACAGGAAAAATTGAACATCTGTCTTATTTTGTTTTTGGTTGATTAGGATCAAGAGTCCAGAAGCTCTGGCCATGAGAGCTAATGTGTCAGATGAGCCACGAGATGAGCATTATACTGTATTACTACTCACTGTGGTCTCACTACAGGGATGTGTGTGCTGTCATTGCCCCAAATAGTAAGAGGCCCAGTAGATTTTAGATTTTTTTTTAATCTGACAAGCCTTAATAATAAATGCTCACTGTTTTCCCTTTTTAAGTAAGCATCCAGTAAAAACAGTTCTGTGCGGGTTTTATTCTCTTTTTATTTTTGCTCTTGACTGTAGCCCTGTTTTATACCACCGGGTTTGCAGATGCAAAAATAAGGCCGACATTATCTCACAAAGCAACCCATTAATTTGTGGGATACATGGCTATAATTACAGTCAGATCTAGTGCCTTGATGACGGTGCAGTGAGTGCAGAATATGTTGCTTCCATCTTCTATTACTATATGCGTTTGATCTACTCCTATTTTTGTAGTTAGAATTTTGCTCTTTGGTTGAAAAACACAGTCTGCTGCCCGTAGACCCATCGATGTTTGTGATTGCTCATGCAGTCAACACCGCCCCTTTAGTGTGAGTGCGCTGATCGCCACACCGGGAAACCTTGCGCTGATATTCAGGTAAACAACCTTGGTGTGAATTAGTGGCCCGATTGCTTAAGGTGGCTGCTTAGGTTGGTGAATCCAGATAAGGTTAAAGATATGTCAAACGTGCTTTCCATGGAAAAGAGTATTCAACATAATGCACGTTTATTATCGTATGCCACCGACAAGGACTGCACAATCATGACCGTGGTGATAATTATTTTGCTCAGTATTGTGATGAACTGCGTTCACAGCTTCATGTCTTTGCACCAGTATAGGAATAAATGTGCACCCTCTTTCAATCTTAAGTATCAGGATGTAATAAAAAAAATCACCTCCTTAGCGGGTTCTAAAATAACTGAAATACCTACTGGGATGATAAACAACACATGACCTCATTAAACCCTTTTATTATTTATTTGTTTGTTTGTTTTTAACATTTAAAATAAATAATGTATGAAAAAACGTACATGATTCAGTAGCTTATAGATCCACTTTCAGCAGCAATAACTTGAAGCACCTGGACATACTGTTTCTGTATGACTTTATTGGCCTCTCATATCTCATAGGGTGGAGTAATCTTGGCCCACTCTCTTTTATAACATCGTTTCAGTTAGTTTGTTCAGTCCTGTCAGTTAGGACAGGTTCCAACTCCTGGTTGAACGTGAATTGATTCAATGCTTATATACAGAGTTTATAAAATCAACATGCTTCTCAGGTACAATCTAGGCCACCAGAAAAGGGAAATGACCTACAGCAAATAAAAGCAGCAGTGCACCAAAGGGTTGATCACAATTAATCCTATTTGAGATTTATTATGTCTATATCATGGCTGGCGGGGAGGGGGGTCCAATTATTTAATCTGATCACAGAATAGCCACGTAAATACTTAAAGAGCAAGCCTGAGGACTAGATGAAAAAGAGTTATCTTTTTTTGTTTTAGTTAAAAAAAAAAAATCAAGGTGAAAAGGGGACAGAACAGCAGCAGATGGGGTCATTAAGTTTCCTGCGGTGAAGGTACTGAGCTTCAATGTTTCTATGAAACCTCCACACAGGAAGGGGATTGCTGTACAGACAGATAAGATAAATTGCCCTTTCATAACACCCCAGTAAAACAAATGGGAGTGGTTTGTGCTCCCACAGTATTTAACTTACTCTGACACTGGCGCACTCACTGGTCTGTCAGCGAACATGTCGGTAGACTTTTCTAAGAACGCAACAGAGAGGCCCGAGCCTTGTAAGGCAGAAATTAAAGGTGGGTCCGGTTTTATACAATTGTATTGCCAACAAATGTTCAGATTTAAACTGCTGCTGTGAAGACTGTGATTTCATTTCAAATAGGGAATATTCCCAGCTGGCTGCAAGGAACGCTCCTCCGAAATGGCCCTGGCATCTTCACTGTGGGAGACACCAACTACAACCACTGGTTTGATGGGATGGCCTTAATGAGTAGCTTCACCTTCAAAGACGGTTGGTACAGCAATTCTTACCTGTGCACAGCTGCTAATCTGTTAATTGCTGCAAAAATACATAAATAAAACAAAAAAAATGTAAAGCGCACAGATAAAAGACGCAGTATTTGTTTCCTTGCAGGTGAAATAATCCATAGAAGCAGATTCCTCAGAAGTGACACCTATAAAGCTAACATGGAAGCAAATAGAATTGTTGTGTCCGAAATGGGGACGATGGCTTATCCAGACCCAAGCAAGAACTTCATCTTCAAGTGAGCATACTCTTTATTGTTACAGACAAATTCAGCATATTTGATCTTTTTCATGAAATAACTGCAGTAGTCTTCGTTTGTAATTCTTTATCAACAGTTGCAGTATTTATTTGGCAAACAGTGCCGTTATATACTGTAAGAACTTTCCCTGGCATCTAGATTTGCCAGCATTAGTCTGTTTTTTCTGCTGTCTATTGTAATGTACAGCAATATTTTTGCTGTAAAGATAAACCCTATGTTACTGTGCTTTATAGAATATAAACGTAACAGGTAAATACTACAAACTGTTTGGATGCCAGACTACTTTTATTTAGTTAGGGGGTGATCGTGGCTCAAGAGTTGGGAGTTCGCCTTGTAATCGGAAGGTTGCCGGTTCGAGCCCCCAGCTTGGACAGTCTCGGTCGTTGTGTCCTTGGGCAAGACACTTCACCCGTTACCTACTGGTGGTGGTCAGAGGGCCCGGTTTGTGCCACCAGTGTCCTGCAGCCTCGCTGGACACTGGCCTCGCTTCTGTCAGTGCGCCCCAGGGTGGCTGCGGCTACAATGTAGCTTGCCATCACCTGTGTGTGAATGGGTGGATGACTGGTTGTGTAAAGCGCTATACAAATACAGGCCAAATACAGGCCATTTAGTTCTCCTATTTAGGGATGGGTACCGGTATCGGTTCTGACATAAAAGGTAGTAACCAGACCGAAAAGCAGCGCACATTTCGGTGCTTTTTTTCCTTTGGATTCCAGCCAATCATTTTACCTTTGCGAGCGTAGTAGGCGGGCCCAGGTACATACATTCTTTTAGAGCAGAGCTACAGATTAAAAATGCCCAAGGCGAAGCGGTCAAAGTCTGGCTGTACTTCACAGCAAAAGATGCAAACTCAGCAGCCTGCAACAAGTGCTTTAAGGTGATACTGTGCAAAGGAGGTAACACCTCGAATCTGATGAAACACCTGGCGACGTATAGCATTTTGTTAAAAGCCGAGAAATGCGCCGTATTTGATAGCTTGCTGCGAGACCTCACACCGTGCACATCTACTGCGGGTGTGGTGCCTGTTATCGGACCCGGAGCAACATCCCCCAAAAACCCGAAGAATAGAGTCCTGGCCCGTAGCCCTGCCAGTGTAGCAGAAATGATGACGGATGATGATGGCAGCAGCAGCCGTTCTTCTCTGCGTGAGTAGCTTAATGTTGTTCGTGTGTAAGCTAACCACGTTATTAATTAATGCATGTAAGGTGAACTAGCAAACACCATCGTAGTTACATGCGGCTGTCTTCTTGTTTGATGGCAGATCTCCCTTCACCCTGGCCAAAAAGGCTAAAATGACCAAAGAAAAAGTGGAAAACAGCTAAACATGAGAGGTTTTTGGACAAAGTTTGTTTTTTCCATTGTTTAAGCACTGCTTCCAGCCAAGAGTGATACCATATATGCCCCTATAGCTGCAGAAAAGGCTAACATTGTTATCTTTTTACAAAAAAACAGCTAAACATGAGAGGTTTTTGGACAAAGTTTGTGTTTTTCCATTGTTTAAGCACTGCTTCCAGCCAAGAGTGATACCATATATGCCCCATAGCTGCAGAAAAGGCTAACATTGTTATCTTTTTACAAAAAACAGCTGAACATGAGAGGTTTTTGGACCAATTTTGTGTTCTCCATTCTTTAAGCACCGGTTTGAGCACCGTTTAAGCACCGGCACCGTTTCAAAAGTACCGGTTTGGTACTGGTATTGGATAAAACCTAAACGATACCCATCCCTACTCCTATTGCAATCTCCATAGACGATATGTTATTTTATGGTTGCATGTCTTCAGTTTCCTTTAAGTGATTTGTGCTACAGAAATGCTGCTGTTCTCTATTATTTGACAACTACGCTGAAGATGAACACTGGCTGAGCACTGGCTGGTTATTCCCAAAACTTTTTCAGAGTGAATAATTTAAATGTTTTGTGTATATTCCTGAGAAAATATATGGTGTCATAATATTTCTCAAAGGTATCCATGTTTATGGTTTCTTGTATGTTTGAAGATTATACATGTTTGTTTGTTTGTTTTTATAAGTTTTGTGGTAGTGCAGCTATTAAATAA